AAGAGGATGAACTGCAGTGGGAAAATGACAGTTAAGACAACCATTTCTCCAAAGCTCCTGCAATAGCCCCTGTGAGAGCTGAGAAGTGCTTCCCCTCACAGCTGGGTGGAGAGGGTATGTGCTAAGAGACAGAGGAGAAGCAGCAGAGGAAGCAGACAAGAAAGGTGGACGTGCTGAAAAGCTATTTACAGATTTAGAATCAACAGATATGAGGGACCAATCAGGAGATTCTGAAAGCACCAACAGGCAAGGCAATGCCCCAAATATCCCTCCATCTGGGTATTTATTTATTTAGTCCATATATGCTGACCCTTTGGGACTATCATATTCCCCTATGTTATGAGAAGCATTTTGATTTCCTTTTTGTTTAGGCTTTAATTTTTGGATTATTATGAAATACACAAATAGAAAAATACAGAAAATAATAATGATCATCCAAATATCCACTATTCAGCTTTTTCAAATATTAACATTTTGTCTGTCTCTAATTTTCTGTAAAGAAAGAAACATTTTGGATATAGTTATAGTTGAAATCCTCTTCAAACCATTCCCTAATCGCATTCCCAAACGCCTCCCAGAAGGTAACTGTTAACCTGATTTTGGCATTTAACATCTCCCTCTACCTCATCTCTAAAATGAGAGCACTGGTTTGGATAAATTCTAATGCCCCTTTCTGTTCTAAGACAGCAATATTTAATAGCATGATATAAAGTTCTTGATGTTCTGTAATGAAGTGCAGAAGCCTACAATGCTGTGAAATACACAAGAATACTTCAAAATAATTTCAAGCCTCAAAAACAGATTAAGTCATGATATAATCCTTTAGCAAAAAATCATTGTAACTTTATTACAGTAGTGTCAGTAAAAATAGTATTATGAGTGCATAGGGCATATAAAAACCTAAGTTCAAGAAGTTCCTGTGGTTCCCTTTCACTGTAACCATCAGCTCCAGGGAACAATAAGGAAGTGCTCAAGCACAATATCCTTCTGGAGTTCTTACTGCCTATGGAGCTAATTCAGTGCAGCATCAAACTGTCCCCATTGTCACAGTATTCTTCTCTGCCAGGCAATCATGGCAAAAATATTCTTTTTAAAAATGCATAATGCCGAACAAGACAAGGATATCCACTCTCGCCACTATTATTCAACATAGTTTTAGAAGTCTTAGCCATGGCAATCAGAGAAGAAAAAGAAATAAAAGGAATGCAAATTGGAAAGAAGAAGTAAAACTGTCACTGTTTGCAGATGACATGATACTATACATAGAGAATCTTAAAGATGCCACCAGAAAACTACTAGAGCTAATCAATGAATTTGGTAAAGTTGCAGGATAAAAATTAATGCACAGAAATCTCTTGCATTCCTATACACTAATGATGAAAAATCTGAAAGAGAAAATAAGGAAACTCTCCCATTTATCACTGCAACGAAAAGAATAAAATACCTAGGAATAAACCTACCTAGGGAGACAAAAGACCTGTATGCAGAAAACTATAAGACACTGATGAAAGAAATTAAAGATGATACCAACAGATGGAGAGATATACCATGTTCTTGGACTGGAAGAATCAATATTGTGAAAATGACTCTACTACCCAAAGCAATCTACAGATTCCATGCAATCCCTATCAAATTACCAATGCCATTTTCCACAGAACTAGAACAAAAAATCTTATAATTTGTATGGGGACACAAAAGACCCCGAATAGCTAAAGCAGTCTTGAGGGAAAAAAACAGAGCTGGAGGAATCAGACTCCCTGAGTTCAGATTATACTACGAAGCTACAGTAATCAAGACAATATGGTACTGGCACAGAAACAGAAATATAGATCAGTGGAACAGGATAGAAAGCCCAGAGATAAACCCACACACCTATGGTCAACTAATCTATGACAAAGGAGGCAAGGATATACAATGGAGAAAAGACAGTCTCTTCAATAAGTGGTGCTGAGAAAACTGGACAGATACATGTAAAAGAATGAAATTAGAACACTCCCTAACACCATGCACAAAAATAAACTCAAAATGGATTAGAGAACTAAATGTAAGACTGGACACTATAAAACTCTTAGAGGAAAACATAGGAAGAACACTCTTTGACATAAATCACAGCAAGATCTTTTTTGATCCACCTCCTAGAGTAATGGAAATAAAAACAAAAATAAACAAATGGGATCTAATGAAACTTAAAAGCTTTTGCAAAGCAAAGGAAACTACAAACAAGACGAAAAGAAAACCCTCAAAATCGGAGAAAATATATGCAAACGAATCAACGGACCAAGGTTTAATCTCCAAAATATATAAACAGCTCATGCAGCTCAATATCACAAAAACAAACAACCCAATCCAAAACTGGGCAGAAGACCTAAATAGACATTTCTCCAAAGAAGACATACAGATGGCCAAGAAACACATGAAAAGCTGCTTAACATCACTAATTATTAGAGAAATGCAAAGAAAAAGTACAATGAGGTATCACCTCACAACAGTTAGAATAGGCATCATCAGAATACCTACAAACAACAAATGCTGGAGAGGGTGTGGAGAAAAGGGAACCCTCTTGCACTGTTGGTGGGAATGTAAATTGATACAGCCACTATGGAGAACAGTATGGAGGTTCCTTAAAAAACTAAACATAGAACCACCATACGACCCAGCAATCCTACTACTGGGCATATACCCTGAGAAAACCATAATTCGAAAAGACACATGCACCCCAATGTTCATTGCAGCACTATTTACAATAGCCAGGTCATGGAAGCAACCTAAATGCCCATCGACAGACGAATGGATAAAGATGTGGTACATATATACAATGGAATATTACTCAGCCATAAAAAGGAACAAAACTGGGTCATTTGTAGAGATGTGGATGGATCTAGAGACTGTCTTAAAGAGTGAAGTAAGTCAGAAAGAGAAAAACAAGTATCGTATATTAACGCATATATGTGGAACCTAGAAAAATGGTACAGATGAACCGGTTTGCAGGGCAGAAATAGAGACACAGATGTAGAGAACAAACGTATGGACACCATGGCGGGAAAGCCGTGG